GATGCAGAGAAAACTGGGGTGCAGGACAAGAATGTTGATGGGGTGTGAGGATAACAAACAGCTGCTTCAGTCAGGAAAGGAAGACTCTGGATCTCCCTGGTGATGCAGGGGTTAAAGTCTCAGAACTGTCCAGCTATATGCAGCCACTGCACCATAAGTTGATCCCCAGCCTGGGAGCTGACACACATGGCACAGTAGATCTCTCCTGTCTCACCCACTGCTCCCCTCAGCAAGTGCATTTCAATGGACTGTTTTGTTTCCACTGTTTCTCTGGTGAATTGATCACCCCCATGCCTCTGGCCTATACCCCAGTTCTTGTATGCACAAGTAAATAAAAATAAATATTTTTTAATTGTTTATTTATTTCTGGCGGTAGGGGGAAGAGAGGATTCACCAGAGACAGAGTGGGGAACACAACAGGTAGATCAACTGAAACACAGTGCTGAGGGAAGCAGCGAGCAGGTCTGCCACACCATGTGGGTCAGCTCCCTGGCTGGTGATTGAACTTGTGCTCTAGTGGGTGCTGTAGCTTCACAGTAATGTGCTTTTACCTGTTGCACTATGAGTGAGCAACCAATAAAAACAAATCTTTAAAAAAAAAAAGGGGGGGGACTCTCTCTTACCAAGCAATGTGGCAGGATTGTGGCAGGAGGAAATTGTAATCAGGTTCCATCAGGGAGATTGAGGCCATGGTTTACTCTTCTGCTCCACATCCTAAAAGGTACATTTTTAGGTTTGTTGGATTTCCCTAGACACAAGGGCTGATGCAGGAGTCTGTAACATGGCAGAGATGATGGGAGGCTCAGAAGACATCAGAATTGGTCCCAGTGGCCATAGGAACCTCTGCTGGGTGCCTGAGGACATCAGTCTGGCAGGCCAGGGAGGACAACTTAGGATTTCTTCCAGAGCCTTGCTGAAATAAAAGGAATGTAAGCCATGCTTGGGAATACTGGGGAAGTCACCTCCCAAACTGATGTAAGCAAATCATGGAGGCTTCATAGCTCCCAATTTGGAAGATAGTGAATAACAGCCAGAAGGAGATGGGACTTGTGTGCTCTAATAATCCAGAGAAGGATGACGATGAGGAGATTGCAATTTAGGGCCCTCCCTGGTGGTGCAACAGGTTAAAGAGCAGCACTATGAAGCTATCCGCTTCTGCTTCAGCCTGAGTTCTGTCTCTGGTCAGGGCGCTGACCCACATATGGTGGAGAACCTCTCCTGACCCACCCGCTGCTCCCCTCAGCAGTGTGCTTCATCAGCCTGCCTATTCTGCTCCCCACCCTGTCTCTCACTTGCCCTGCACCTCTGGCCTGTATCCCGGTTCTGTATGTAGCTATGTCTTCCTCAAATTCCACTTTGTGGACGCCCTAATGATTGAAAAAGTCAGACAGGAGCAGAGATGGAGGCGGCAGCTCCAGCTTCTCTTCAAGTCATGGAACCATCAACAACTGAGCTGCCCTGTATGACTGTATGACTGTATGACAGCCTATCTCCGAGATTCCAGGATCTCCTGGGATTATGTAATGGACATAACCTCATACTGTATTTT